TAATATTTTTTACAATATTATATTTATATTTTAAAGGAGTAATTACACTATCTAGCTTAGAAGAATCTTGTAAAACAAAAAAAAGGGGTAATAAACCTATTGCGCCAGAGTGTAATATTTTATATGAAGTATTTGGATATCCCTTGTTTACCCTACCATTTAAAGATCTATAAAGGTATTTATATATAAAAAATAGTCTTTCATTTATACTATTTTGACTTAAATAATTGTATTGCCTTGAATCAATTTTTAATGCTCCTTTACCAAATTCAAACACAAATCCTAAAGTTAAAAGAACAAAGAAAATAAGCATTACGGATAAACCATATAATCCATTAGTATAGCTGCTTACTGCATAGGGGTAAATCAATAATATCTCTAAATCGAAAAGAAGGAATAACAAGGCAAAAATAAAGAATGAAACGCTGAACTGTGTTCTATTTTGCCCTAAAAACGAATGAAAACCACACTCGAAAGCAGAATCTTTTTCTTCGTAAGGACTATGTGGAGCTAAGATTAAATTAACAGCCAATAAAATAAAAGATAATATAGGTATAAATATAAAAAAGAATGAAGTAGAAGTCATGACTAAGGATTAAACATAATAAGGGCTAAGATGTTAGCCATGCTTAATCATTCTTGAGGTATGAAAATGAATAGTAATATAGAAATAGTTAACACAGAAATAGTAATAGTTTGATGGCTTGATAATTTTACATTTCCAGCGTTGTAAGTGAATTTGTGTATACCTGCGCTGTTTTGTATATTACCTATTAAGACTAAATCAGACAATTCTGAATTTAATTTATAGTCGGGTTTGTCGAAGAAAACTTGTTTTATAACTGCTAAGTAGTAAACTGCACTTACTACACTTGTTAATATTGCAACTAATGTAATGAAAACATAACCGTTATCTAATGCGGCACTAAATACCATCTGTTTAGCGAAGAATCCCATTAAAGGTGGGATACCGGCAAATGAGAAAAGGCTTATAGATAAACTTAATGCTAAAAGTGGATTTATATAAAAGTATCCTTTTATTTGACTAATAAGTTGTATAGGTGAGTTATTTTTATCTTGAAGATCTTTATAACTAACATCGTCATTTGTGTAAAGATATAATGAATACCCTATAGTAACCAGAATAATAAAGGAATTTAGGTTGGAGACTGAATATTGCATTATGTAGAAAATAAACGCTTGTATTGATTCTATGCTATATATACTTAAAGCTAATAGTATAAACCCTACATGTGAAATTGTACTGTAGGCATACAATCTTTTTATTCTAAATTGAGATAGACCAAGTACAGATCCGATTATTAGAGATAATAAAGAACTCAGTAATAAGCTAGTAGTTCAAGAATAACTAAATGAAAATAAAGATTTGCTAGTGTAATGCACTAGTTCTAAGAAGAAAATAAATATAGATATTTTAGCTATAATAGCCACAAATGTTGTAACTATAGTAGGTATTGCATCGTAGACATCAGGGCTTCAGAAATGGAAAGGTGCTGCACTCACTTTAAATAAGAAACCTACTGACATAATAAGTAATGAAAGATGTATATAATACGGTTTGTATCAATAAAGTATATTTGTATTATCCAGAGATGTTTCTGATATACTAGTTATTACATATAAACTAT